AAAAATATTATGCACATGGCCTCAGAATATATGCATATCTCAATATATTTTTGGTCTTTCTGAATTAAATCCTTTTTCAATCTGCTCCACATGATTGGCCAACTCACGTGTTTGTTGTGTTCCTTATTTGCCATGTCCAAACAAGCATATAACTAAAAAAGGAAGTGATGCACAATGTTGATCTTTTGCTAGGGGTGAGCCAAATTCCCACTTTTTCGAAAAAAAGAAAGCAAAAAAAAGATGAAGAGGAGGTATAGCATTGTTGCAAGGGTCCAAGTCAAGGAATGTTTTTCTAGTTGTTTTTCTTTTTCTTCTGCTTCCAATATTCTTAACCAGAGAACTGATTTTGTTTCTACTTGCTTCCAGAATATCCTTCCAGTTTGGATGCCGAATATGCAAAGGAGTCCACCAGACAAAAAGCTTAATCCAAGGCAAAAACCACTCAAGTTTCGCCCACTCCTCGGTATATTACGTACTTGAGCTTTGTCGACAGCAAGTTTACTTAATATAAACCTAAGACTATTATCCACTTTGGAGCCAGAGTTTTCAATCTAGTTTCAGTGCCAACTTGGTCCAGGTGATCATTGGAAAGAGTTGAAAAAGGTTTTTTTTTTTATATTTGTATCTTTTAAGTTGTTCCTATTTGTTTATATATTTTGAATTTTAATCTTGTTTATATTAAGATTTTATTATTTTAAAATATTTGAATTATTTTATATAAATACATTGTTATTAATAATAATTATTGTATTATTGTTATTTATAATAATCTATATATTACTATTTTTCTTATAAGATTTATAATTATAGTAACATTTTATATTATTAATAATGTTTTTTTAAAATTTTTTGAAATAAATTGAATTATTACTTTTTGTTTTAAAAAAAAATAATAATAGTAATTACTAGTTAAAAATTATATTTGTTTAGGTCTTAAAAATTGTTTAACTATTGTTATATTATATATAAATGTGTTTGTTAAAAGTTTTGTTAGAATAACATGTAAAAAAACTTTTTTAGTAGTTTTTTTGTTATTATTAATTTAACTTTCTGCTTTATCTTTCTGTTATATATAATATATATATAGATTTAAAATTAACTTGATTTTTAGTAGTATTAAGCTCTATATTATATTTTTATTTTTTTGTATTTCCAATTTTATTTGTTTTGATAATATATAAGAATAATATAATTCTAGTTTTTATTGTAATATTATTCAAAATACAATTGCAAAATATTACAAGATTATTGCCTTAAGTGTTAATTGGCCTAAATTAGAGTTAGGCCAATTGATATCGATTAGTTAATGTTAGCCAAACAATTAACACCTGAGGTGCCTCAGTTACTATCTGAGACAAAAATTAATTTAAGACACTGCATATATATAAGTATCACTAAAAAGAACTACTGAAATTTTAAATATAAAATTTTTAGGTTTTCTTTTAGCAATACTCATATTGGATGTTTCAAAATTTATTACATAGTCCCTTTTTTAAGTGCCTTTATACAATGATAAGCATTGTGATCTCTATATGTAAAGTTACTTTAAAAAAAGATTATATAGTAGAACTTTTGAAACACCTAGTATACAAAAGTTTATATACTGGCAATCATAAGTAATGCAACAAAAAAAAATTTTACTTAGATAATATTATCTTATGCAATTCCAAGCATATTAGTTAGTTCTTTTTTTTATTTTATTCACAAATAGTGTCTTTTTCTAATTTTAAAATTTTATTAACTATTATTAATACCAATACAAAAATAATCATGTGTATATTATAAAATACATGTTGCATTACTTTTGCTTGTTTTTAACAAAGACCAGATCATGTGATCTGTACAATATAAATACATTTAAAAATATCAATCTTATTGTTGATTTTGTATCTTATACAATGCTAGGATTTATTAATAATCAAAAACAAAAAAAAAGAGCTGAACAACTCTTACTAAATAAGCTCAAGTCTTATTTTTGCTTCAGAAAGAATACACAACAAGAGCAGTAGGTCAAGGCTATAATATTTCTTTTTTTATAGTCTCGTGAATTAAAAAAAGATAGTTAATAAACTGCTTATTTGAAGATTTAGCAAAGGTTGGTCATTCAACTTCATTGAGTAAACCAACCTAAAGAAAAATAGTAAATCTTATTACTTCTTATCAATACTTCATTGCTGTTAAAGTGAGGACTCACCTCATAAAAAATAAAAATATAACAATTTCAGTGTTTATTATATGCTGTATACTTCAAAACCATGGTTTAGTATCAAGAATAAAAAAAAATCTCTATCTAAGTGACAGTTATCAAAAAGAACGACTCACTTTTGTAAAGAAATATGAAAATTGGACCATTGATGATTGGGCAAAGATAATCTGATTCAATAAATCAAGATTTCAAATTTTTGGGTCAGATGGTAAGCAGTACTATTGAAAGCATCATAGAGAATCATTAAACAAGTTCTATATAAAACCTACTGTAAAATATGAAAGTAGTTCTATCATAATTTGGAATTACTTTAGCTCTCATGATGTTGGTAACTATTGTAAGGTTAACAGCATGATGGATGACAACTTGTATCAGAAGATACTTTGTGAAGACTTAATGTGAATAATCAAGGATCAAAACTTTGATGTTAGAAAAATTACTTTCCAACAAGATGAAACATCTTGTCATACAGCAACCTTGACAGAATGTTGGCTTAAGAGAAATAAGATTAAGTTCTTCGATTGGCTTCCCAATCCTCTGATCCTAACCCAATCAAAAACCTGGAGGATAAAATTGACTGTTGGCTGAGAGATCTTCCTGAACAAATTTCAAGTGAGATGGATCTTTGGAAAAAAATCCAGAAAGTCTGACAGGTGATTGATGTTGAAACCTGCAAACAACTGATTTGTTCAATGCCAGAACAAATTCGTGCTGTAATTAGGGCTTGGGGTGGTTACACCCGAAGATGAAGGTGGAGAATTTTTATATAGAATAAAAAAATTTTTTTTTGTTTTACAGTCATGTTGCTGTAAAAATGAGCAAAAGTAATGCAACATGGCATTTGAAATAAAGTTCGTGCCCGTGAAAAATTTTTTTCATTGAATTTTTTTAATTTTTTTATTGGTGAAAATGCTGTTATTAGTGAATAAAATAAAAAAAAAAACTAACCGATACGCCCGGAATTGCGTGAGGTAATATGATCTAAGTAAAATTTTTTTTTTGTTGCATTACTTATGATCGCCAGTGTAACTGCCGAAGTTAAAAACTTATCAAATTGGCAAATAACCATTCAGACAATGTTTTACCGGATATTCCAAAATTAATGAAAACAGCTGTAAAAAAATTTTATATCCGGCTGTTAACTCTGCCTGTTAGGTTTATATTTTTATATATTTGAAACTGAATTATACAAAAAATGCAACTCTGAAAAATATTGCAAGCTGGTCATTTTTCAAGAGAATGTGTTATAAAAAGAAAAAATAATAAGTTAAAGATAAAATGTATCGAAAGGTATGAGAGAGAGGCAATGTCTCATAAAAAGTTTAAGAGGGGTTTGAAAAAAAGGACTAATATAATAATTGGTATATATAATTGACAAAAATTAATTCGCTATCAAAAACTAAGCTGTTTATGTTTATTTTATAAATATATAAAGAGAATACGGTATATATGTAATTTAAGCATTTTAAATACAAAATGCATTGAACATAAAATTATATATATCTTTATAATAACAGGAAAAGGATAGCAAATTAATTTAGTTTGTGTAAATTGGAACTACTTTGGCAAGAGCAAGTATCTTTCGTTTAGCGTGATTAGATAAATTCTTTCCAATCAAAGGAAAAGAACAGACATCAACCAAAGCATCTTTAAAATTCTCATGATGTTTTTCAACACACTCCTCAATTATTTTTGTACCATAATTCATCCACTGAATTTCAATAATTGGCTCCTGAACTTTGAATCGAAACTTGAATATTCTAATTACTTCTTGAATCAATTTTTCCGCCATTCCTTCAACTGTGGACCTCTTTTTAGGTTCAGTGAGTACACGAAGTTTATTCATTGAATTATTTAAATCATTTTGAAACATAGACAGAAATAGATGCTTATTCTTATATTTTTTTTCACATACGTTAGCATATCCACGATGACCAAGCATAACATAGACTTGTTGACGTAATTTTATAGATGCTACCCTAGTAACATCGTCTGTGCCAATACGTTCGTCTGAAAATCTCCTAATTAGTTCAATTAATTCGTCTGCCTTACGAATAATATTTGATTCGAGAGCATATGTTCCCATACAAAGATTTTCATGGCACATATCTGAGTATGATAAAATTTCTTTCAAGACATGATGTTGCAAGACAGCTTTAATTAACCGCCTGTCTTGTGTATGAGGACTAATTTTGGTTTGGGATCCATAGCGTTGTAAAAGTTTGTTAACATTTTCAAAATTTATTTCAACACCATTTTTTAAACTAGTGACATAATCTTCAATCATGTTCTGTAAATCGTCAATATCAGACTTAAGCCGCATAATGTTATTCTGATCATCGTCATTAAATCGAAAATTTGTTGTGTTTCCCAGCGCTAGTTGATATTTAGACGCCTCATCTTTTAATTCCATATTTTTTTTTTCAAGCAAATTGATTTTCTGGGCGTACGCAGATAATTTACTGTTCAACAGCATATTTTCTTTCCTTTCATTGTGGAATAGTTTCTTGTAATATTCGCAGTCTTTTTGAAAATTTATAAGGGTTTCGCGGTAACTTAAATTCTCATTTTCTAATTTTCTGATCATTAAATCCTTTTCCTGGATTTCTGCCCTAGGATCCACAATTTGTGTACTTTCTCTAAATATAACGAAAAAAAATCGACGTATAAATTCAAAAATCCACCACATTTCAGTACTTGGTTCCTCAATAGTGATGAGATTTTTTTTTCGAATTAAGTTTTATGTATAAATTCTAGCGACACCCTTTATGGTACATAAAAAAAATAATATGATAAACTCAATGTAATCAAATTATGTATTTAATGTAATATACTCGAAAATTTTTGAAGGAATTGCGGAACCTTAAATTGTTATTCTAACTTTTATAACGGACCAAACAAATTTATTTTATAACTGAGGGTATCAATTTTTTTAACGCCATTTTTGTTTGACTATTTGAAATTTGTTAGTTTCTTCAAAAACAATGTATGATAATGTTAATAAGGTGATTTTTATTTTATAAAGTACTTGAATTTATTATAATATACAATAATAAACTCTTCAAATTCAAGATAATAGTATGCCATGTGCAATGCAATAAACTCGATAATTCCTCATTTTTTGAGTCAAAACTGATTTAAAAAGAAATAATCTCACTGATTCAAAGATCAACAACTTTGACACGATTCTTTCAATATGCTTGAATCAAACGATATTGATGATGATATTCCTATGTTAGAAGAAAATGAGAGGTTAAATTTAACATTTAAAAGATTATTTGATGATGCACTTAAGATTGAAGATGATGTAGAAGAAAATGACATTCGTGTAGTAGCTGCAATTGGTAAATTCAAATCAATTATTGCCATAACTATTAAATTTGAAATAGTAAATTACATGAATATTATTTCGTTTCTTTTAGATTTCGGTACCACATATTCGGTGAGAACATATTCAAACAACATAATTGTTTTTTTTTTTATGAATTATATAAACATTCATACGTTTATAATATTGAATCGAACATAGGGATATGCATATGCTCATTTAAAAAGTAATCCTTTAGATATCATAACTTGCGTTGAATGGCCAGAATATGATGGTATACCAAAGGTGCCAACAGTCCTCAAGTACGATGAATCCTTTAATGTTATAGATTGGGGATATCCTGCATTAATCAATCTAGATCGAAGAAATCTAGATCGAAAAAGTCTCAATCAAATATCCAATATGAAACCCGTAGAATTATTTAAGCTTCACTTAGGCAACACTGATGACATGGAGAGTAAGCCTTATCTCCCTTCTGGGCTTGGTTACAAGCAAGCTATAACCGATTATTTACGTGAAATAGGTGATTCGCTTAAGGATCAGTTAAAACGATGGCAAACTATTGATTATTTTAAAAACGTTCGCTTGGTTTTGACAGTACGTAAATATTTATTTATCTTTTTTTTTTTTTTAATCCTTTTTATACATAAAATAAGACTGTTCTATATTATATGTTAGGTTCCTGTAGAATTCGATAATGATGCTATATCTATTATGCGTAAATGTGCAGTTGAGGCCGGGTTAACGAAACAAAAACATAATTCCAATGGTTCTAATTTGTTATTTGTACATGAACGTATGGAACTTTTCAAATATTTCATTCTAATTAATTTTTTTGTCTTATCTACTATATTCTTTTTTTTTTTTTATCTATTATTTACTTTTATCACATAACGTAATTGACTCCAATCTTATTTTGCTTTCAATAGCTGAAGCAGCAGCAGTACATTGCTTAAAAAGCTCAGGTGAATATAATTTGTTAGCTGGAGGTACGTAAGTCACCTTCCTTGTTCAATCCAATAGGAAAGCAGTACAGTATCAAGATACAGTATATACTAATATTTTTTAAATCTGTATGATACAAGATACTTTCATGGTTGTAGATTCAGGCGGTGGCACGGTTGATATAACGACAATGAAGTTATTAGTAGGTGGCAAATTAAGTGAAAAAATAGAGAGTAAAGGGGATTATTGTGGCGGCAATTATGTAGACCAAGAATTTTTAAAATTTTTAGCCAAAAAAGTTGGTGAATCAACAATTGAAATTTTAAAAAAATCACATTATGGACAAATTCAATATGTTGTTCAAACATTTCGCCGAAGAATTAAATATCGATTTACAGGAAAACGTGAAGATTTTAATGATTTTGAATTGGATTTAGAAGGTAATTTTAGGTTCTTATATTTTTTCATTATCTAAGCATCTACATGATATATACTTTATATTTTCTATGTATTACATTTATTAATACAGATTCATGTCCAATTATGAAGAACTATGTGAAAGATGACATAAAAGACGAGTTGGAACTATCGATGTGGGTTATAACTATAAAATATGATGATGTAAAAGAGATGTTTGATCCAGTTATTGATAAAATTATCAAGTTGATTCATGGAAGAGTTAATGCTCTTGATACTCCATGTTCCGCTATGTTGTTAGTCGGTGGATTTAGTGAATCTAAATATTTGGTATCTAGGATCAGAGAAGAATTTAAAGAAATTATTCCAAATATTTCCATTCCTTCTAATCCTATGCTTGCAGTTGTTAAAGGTGCTGTCCAATTTGGAATTTCCCAAAAAATCATTGTAAATCGTATTTTGAAATGGACTTATGGTAATTAAATTGTCTACAAAATGTATTTTACGTTATCGTTATTATTAAATTACAATTAAATCAATCATACATTTTGAAACATAGGAACCGATATTATAAGAAAATGGGAGTCAAGCGATCCTCTGGATAGAAAAATTGGTGACCATATTAAAGTTTTCAGCAGATTAGCCAAAAGAGGGGACAAAGTGTCTGTAGGTGAAAAGGTTGTAAGAATTTTTTCAACGACGCATGCCCTTCAATATATGATGGGTCTAGATTTATATGTCACGCGTGACAATGATGCAGAATATTGCGATAGTCAAGGTGTGGAATTACTTGATAAATTCAATATCAAGGTACCTATTACTGGTACTGAAAAGCGTGCGATTCTGTATATTATGAACTTCGGTATGGTAGAAATTCAAGTCACTGCGATAAATCCAGATAATGGAATGAAATACGAGAGAGTGTTTGATTTTGATATCTAAACATGTGTGAACTTTGAGCTGTAACTATTTTTTTTTGAATGAATTAATAAATTTGCATATCGATATTCAAAGAATTTCGTTGATCAATCAAATTTCGAGATCATGTATAACTCAAATGAAATATTAAAAAATTTTTGCAAATTAAAATTATGTCAACCTTCTACGTATCAAAAAGGCAACAATAACCGACTTAATATCACAAAGTGATTTTTAATGAGGTTATAATCATTATGTAGAAATATCATCCAATAATTTTACATAAAACATGTTTAAACTAGGAAAACGGGAACCGTTATGAGTCCGAAGCATAAAACTTTGTTTTTGTGCAGGAAGGTAAATAATTGCAACTCACTCTTATAATAATGATAAATTTTTTTAAATTTCTAAAATGCAATATTAACTCGATACAATAAGCTCGTGATATACAGCCAATCAGGGATGCGGAAGCGAACAGACAGAATGCACGTGACAGTGTCGATCAAAGCCTAACGTAAAGAAAGAGTGTCCTTCGCTACAATAAAATATATTTTATACCTATATTAATATATACATTTTTTTAGTTTTATCTAAAAAAAAATTATAAATCCCTGTTTTTAGAAACAACATACCCGGTGAATTTCACTTTTGGTAAGCATTAAAATTGTCCATAAATTTTATTAAAAAAAATTTCAAAATCATAGAAAACGTTTCTCAATCGAATGGTATAAGTTCCATCCAATTCCAATAACGAGATAACCGATTCGTCACAATACCTTATAATAAGTGTGGCAGCTTATGCTGAAATTTTGACTTATTTTATTGTGAAATTATAAAAAGTTCGGACTATAGGTTTAAATAGTGTTGGGTTCGGAAGATTGCGACTCTGTCGCTCCACAATTCAATATCTCACGTAACGTACGATAGGTAACCTTTTCGAAAGAGGGAGTTAGATTTTTATTGTGAAATTATAAAAATTTCGGACTATAGGTTTAAATAGTGTTGGGTTCGGAAGATTGCGACTCTGTCGCTCCACAATTCAATATCTCGCGTAACGTACGATAGGTAACCTTTTCGAAAGAGGGAGTTAGATTTGGCTGGTGGGTGATTAAGGCTTTCGGTTACTTTGGGTCAACGAATACAAGTAGGGTAAGTCACGTGAACAAGTACTTGAACGAACGACGATGTTTATGGATTTTACAGGGTGCGTACTGGGTTTAGTGTTAGTATTTTATTATAGACGTTATAATGTATTGGGACTTGTATTTTAATAAATCCAACGAAGCGTACTGCTCCTAAGGGCCATTTCGGCCTTTATTTATAATACTGAATTCGTCGCTCACAAATGCGACTTTACACATATTATCTATTAAAACTAATTAAACCTATTTACAGTGATTTATGTGATATCTTTAAGGATGTGTAATTTGTCTTCACATCCTACCCTTATTCCTTATCTACCCTTTTGGATCCGAAATACCTCATAAATGTAACTTACTGCACTTATTGCATTTCGTGCGTTTTCACGTGATCGGTCACGATATTCCGGTATCACAATAGGAACTCCAAATTTCAGCATAAGCCGCCACAATAAGTATATTTAAAATTTTATTACATTATACAGACATATTTTTTATTCGAAAAAATTTTAACTGATCAGTGATCATGTACCTAAATCTAAACTATGAAGTATTAAAGTTTGTCTCGATTGATAAAATCTGTTATAAGAAAGGTTTTAATGTTGTTCATGGTTAGCTTTACATTGGGATCTAAGTCTCAAAGAGGACTCTAGGTTTATCTACAATAATAAATAAGTCAAATGTTACAGCATACATTGACTACAACTTTTTAATGTTATTTAGTTGCATCTAATTAATATTATAACTTCATAATCCTACACCTATAATCAAATCAACTTGTCCAATCACTAATAAAATTTTTTTAAAAAATATTCAATTACTGCATTATGATTCAAAAAAATTGTCTGTTATGTTGTAAAAATAATTGATCCAAATTCTATAATACTGCCATAACCAACTATTTGCCAAGAACTTTGTGGCCATTTTACCGGAAGAAGTGACAGTAGTATTGATTAAAACAAATTCATTGTAAGGTTTTCTACAAAAGGAGAAATTTAAATCTAATTTAAATTATCAGATTCAGTATCAAAAATTTTTCTAAAACACAGCTTTTTTCATCCATCATTAAGAACAAGTTTGCGTACAAACTTGAAGATTTTGAAGCCGGATTAATTTACTCATTAAAAATTTTAGAAAAAATACATTATAGTGTTTTTGAGATAAATTATATATGAAATAAAAAAAAAACAACTATTTTAGAATAAAATGCGCAAAATAACGTATTTCCAACAAAAAGGTGCACAAAATCCAGTGTGGGACCCAAAACGTGATCGTTCTCACGTGAAGCAGACCCAAATGTCATAACAGTCAATATATTTGATATATCCCCTATATCGCATAAGTGGAACACATGAAATAAATGCGATATATGGGATAAATTAGATATGTTTAGTATATCGAATAAATCCGTAATGTAAATAAAGGGCGGGTCCGTATTATTTCACCGACAGCTCATTTAACCGACATCACACCAGGCGATAATTTACTAAATATATATACCAGCAAATAATAAAATGCTAATCCTAACCCTATGTGATGTCGGTCAAAGAAGCCGTCGGTGAAATGATTGTCGGCGAAGTAAACGGCACCGAATTCTCTCCAGGCAAAAAAGCCAATGATTACAATTGCGAAAATAAAACTAAACATCCGACCCATAACAAATGTAAAAGTGCTATCCTATAAAAGCTAATAACTATCGTTAAATCATATACATCGTCCATAATATTATACTAACGCTATACCCAGTATAAACCCTGTAAACCCATTGTTCATTGCCACGAGAAATTTTAAATTTCGCACCGTTACCCGGCTCCGATGACTACATTCTGACGATTGTACAATTACCCAGCCCCGATTACTGACGATCGTGCGGCTACCCGGTTTCGATTACTACATTTCCCTTCGTCATTACCTCATTTCCCCTTATTACCAACACCTTCACAATATTTTATTTTGATACTTTTCCCATTACTACATCATTACCGTTATTCCTATGACTCCGTTGTAAAATAAATGAATACTTTATAATATTTAGTTCGATCAAAAATTTGTAAAAAAAAGTTTAAAAGCTTTTAGTTTTAGTTCATTAGCTTGATTTATTTTAATATTATAACACATTTTTACTACATGTACGAAAGTGGAGGAAGGATAGTCATCGTTAGGGAGGAAGTGGATTTTTTTTTAATTGTTGTTATCCTTCGCATACATAACATATAATAAAAAACACTTGCACAAGACGCTCGTCTTAAAATTGCTTTATATAATAAAGAACCATCTTTGCTAACAAGATTATTGATGGCATATATATTATTGCTAAAATTGGCGTCCCTTAATAAAACGAATACTTTTACAGACATAAGGACAATAAACAATAATTCTAAGATTTCCATTAAAATAAAATAACTAGCGCGTGACTACTTGAATAAACGTTCAATAATAAAGAGACATAGTCCTTCTTATGTTCACGGTCTAAAGCTATAATTAAGCGCAACAATAGGAAAGTCTCCCCGGACCGTGACATCGTCCAAGTTCTTGATCACGTGCCTAATTTTGGTGCCCCAAGTAACCAAAGCCTTAATCACCCACCAGCCAAATCTAATACCCCTCTTTCGTAAGGTTACATATCGTTGGTTACGTGAGAATTGGACTAGATTAGCGGCCGACAACAGTATTTGCATTAACGTTAAGTCAATGTGGTATGTCTAGAGATGGGCACTATGCACATGTCATACCCTACCATACTGCATGGTGCACGTAATTTCACACATGCATAGTATGCATGGTTAAGTGACGTAACAATTATTATTATCATTATAAGCAGTACATATTTCTTTATTGTTATATAAAAAAAGCATTAAATGCACAATTTACATTTATTCATTTTCTATTCACTATATGACCCTTCGCTATCTATTTCTTCATCACTAATTTCATCACTGTCGACTTCTTCATTATCAATCCCTTCATTATTAACCATCAATGCTTCTTCATCATCTTCGCCTAAATCATTATCTATTGGATCTAATAAAACATCATTATTTTGATTTAAGTTTTGTTGTGCCAACCTACTATTAAATCGTGCTTCAGCATTTATCATATCAGGAAATTCTTGTCGTGGGCAGTTAAGTTTATAATTACTATAAATATAAACCAACTTTAATACTCGCTTATTAGTTAATTGTGATCTTTTATCATTATGGATATGAGAGAAAGCAGACCAATTACGCTCTGAGGTTGCTGATGAAGAGGGAATTGAAAGAATCCTAATTGCAATTTCACATAATTCAGGTGCTGAATTCTCAAAATTTAATTTCCACCATGCAATCGAATCAACTTTGCTAACAGTTTCCCATGTCAACCAAAGATCAAATACACCAGTTTTAGTTTTATATTCAGTTATCTGCTGCCAAATTATGTTTGCATTATTTGGATAATACTGTTGAATGAACTGTGATATTACTGATATGTTGTTTGTTGGAAGTTTTTGTCCACAATATTGAGGATCCAAAAAATGTGCTACTGACATAACTGGGTAATACATTTTTTTCCACTGATCTTGTAAAATGTTTTTAATTTCACAATTCATCACTAAAAATATTTTATATTAATATAGTAGATAGTTAAAATTATTGATTTATAATATTACTCATTATAGTATTCTAGTTGCTTATGATACTATAAATAAAATTGTGTCAGTCGTGGTGTATCAGACTCAAATAACAATATACCGGTAATAAATCTATCCAATGTTACAAGAAGCTTTTCAGCATCTTTCCAAAAACTATCATCTTCAATAATCATGTAAATTGATTTTGGTAATTCCTTATTATTATTATATGTCATTTCTGTAATAGCTAATTTAAGAGCAAGCTTATTCTGTAAAACAGAATTAAGACATGTTGCTGTGGACCCCCATCTTGTTTTAACAGGATATTGTAATGAAATTCACTGTTGATATGCTACCAATTGGTGACATTTTAAAATAGTCACTGGAATCTGATGTGAGCGAAAATATGAAACAATTGCATGGGCGTTTTTTAAAATATTAGCATTTCATGATATCTTCATAATACTGCCAATTAAAAGGTTTAAATTATGGGCTATGCAACCCAAAAATATAATATTAGGATATTTTAATTCTAGTATATGCCATGCTTTTTTCATTACGGAAGTATTATCTATTACTATAGCAGAAATTTTGGTTAAACCAATTTCAATTATTGCTTTTTCTAAATTTTCAGCAATAGCCTCTCCAGTT